GGGTGTGAGAACTGTAGATGTTGGGTTTGTGTAATACCAACTTGGTGTTGAATAAAAAGTGGATTTATCATATGAGTTGTGCTCCGAATACGTAGGAGAATAGTATGAGACTTCAGGGAGGGACGAATAAGGTTGAGTGGAGAGCGTGTTTATCGTGGACGTTGGGTTTGTGTAATACCAGCTTGGTGTTGAATAAAATTTGGATTTATCGTTGGACGTGTATTGCCAGTAAGGAGGGGAATAGTATGAAGGTACAGGGAGTGAAAAATAAGGTTGAGAATAGGGTGTGAGAGCTGTGGAAGTTGGGTTTGTGTAATACCAACTTGGTGTTGAATAAAACGTGGATTTATCATATGACGTGGGCTCCCCATAGGTAGGAGAATAGTATGAAGCTTGAGGAACTGAAGAATAAGATTGAGTGGAGGGCGTGTTAACCGTGGACGTCGGGTTTGTGTAATACCAACTTGGTGTTGTATAAAAAGTTGATTTATCGTTGAACGTGTATTGCCAGTAAGGAGGGGAATAGTATGAAGGTGCAGGGAGTGAAAAATAAGATTGAGAATAAGGTGTGAGAACCGTGGATGTTGGGTTTGTGTAATACCAACTTGGTGTTGAATAAAAATTGGATTTATAATAGGACGTGGGTTGCCAATAAGTAGAGGAATAGTACGAGGGAACAGGAAGTGAAAAATACGGGTGAGTATATGGAATGGAAACCGTAGATTTCGGATTTTTCTGAGAGAAAGTTCTAGGATTCCAACTTGGTGTCGAATGTATGGAGGAATAAAACGGTGATTCAGGATAGGACTTGGGCTGCTGATCGTCAGGAGTGTTGTATGAAGATCCAGTAAATGAGAAAGTAGATTCAGTATCGGAAGCGTATAGCTTAGCTGCCGGTCTTCTATGATTTGGTTGATAGTATGAAGTTACAGGTAGAGAAAAATAAGGCTGTGTGTGATAACGTCGAGATCTAAAGCGGGGAGTAGGGCGTCTTCGTGCGATTGTTTCTCTTAATGTAACACCTGAGAGAATACAAAATAAATCAATTTTTTATTTTAAAATTAAATTTCTAGAATAACAAAAAACTTACATATTATTAAAGAGAAAAGCACTTTTCTCAGCAATGAATTCATTTTGCAAAATTAAATAAGTATTTTGCAATTGAGGTTTACGTCTCACTTTCTATGTTTTACAAAGTGATTGCCAAGACTAATTTTATTTTATTAAAATAACTTGTATTTATATATTAAACAACCAAAAACAACTTCTGTGTTTTGATATAAAATATACGAAAATAAATATAAACTGAACAAATATCAAATGTGAATAATAAACATAATATTGTACAATGTTACATACAAACGTTCGTATGTATGTAATGTTGTTGGGACATTCAGTGGTAGCAAATTAAATTAAAATAAGATCATGGTATTATGACATTGAACTAGATAAAATTGAAATTATAAATTACGGCATTTTACTTAGAATAGTCAAAATACACACATTTATTTTCAGATTAATAATTGGCCTTTAATTTGATTTTTCAATACTTAGAATAGAACTTCTTTCTGCATCTTTGTGATAAAATTTAAAACATGAATAAATATTGTCAAAAGTCTGGTTTCCATTTGAATTTTTTTTTATAATTACTGCCTCTAAAATAAAAACCTTTAATATTTTTTAGTAGTGGAAGTATCAACGATATTAAATTAAAATCTTTTTAACGAAATAGCCTCGTCGAACGTTTGAATTTTTATTACCAATTTTTTAATAATTTTTCACTATTTATTTCAACTTTAATATTATAAACGAGTGTAACCATGACGATAATTGGAAAAAAGAGTTTATAAAATGGTGGTATGATTTAAATTCCCAAATTAGAATTTAAATTTTTGGTTTTTGCAGGTTTCAGACTTTTCATCTACACTAATTAAATTAAATCAGTTGGTATTGAATTTATATTCAGCAAATAGATTGGACAAGTTTAACTGAATAGGTTTCCTCTTTGCTTGTTCCATGCTTTTAATGAAAAATTAGAAGTGAAATTTGATCTTAAATTATTTAGAAAAATCCAAGCTGCAATCTTGTTTTAAAAGTTGCTACGTTTTATGGAAATTGAAAAACAATTTCCTGTTAGAAGTAACCTTTAAACTTTTGGCACTTTGTTTTGTTTCACAATTTCTATTTTTTAGCATTTAATAAAATTTCCCAAGACCTAACAGTTAACATGCTGTTATTATATTTTTCCTGTTCAATTTAAAAAATTCCGTTGTTCTATTGGGAATCGTGACACAACTTCCCGATTTTCGTCAAACAAATTCTCATATTTATTTTATCTTTCGCAAATATTTGTGCGCAAGTTGTTTTGGGAATAAACAAATGTATGAAAAAAAATATATATGGTCTACGTTTAATTATTCAAATTATTAAAACGTATTAAACTGTTTTACGTTTCTGTTGTTTTTTATATTTTTAACCATATATCTATATGTAGTCTATAATTTGAGCCACAGAAAGACGACATTATTAAATATGTAATATTCATTCGAGTGAATTAAATATGTGAAGCTGAAGAATGAAGATCTTTTCGAAAAATGCTTATATTTGAATTTCCATTTCTGCTTTGTGTAGAATTATTATTTGTTTGTTAACAGTATGATGGTAATGGCTATTCACGGAAAAAAACAATTTGAATGACGTACTTTAAAAACCAATAATTGAATAATTAAAATTTAAACATATTAAAATTTGAAACAGTTATTAAATTTTTATATTTTATTTAAAAAATTACAAGTTTATTTGGTGGGATATAGTAGAATACATATTAGATTAATATGTTACAGAACTGAAACCACAAGCCTGGTCAGGTGCAGGTACAAATGCTGTAAAGATATTAATAATTTTTTTTTTTAGGTTTTATATAGAAATTATAGAAAAATATATAAAAAATGTGTATAAACTAAAAAAAAAAATATTATTTTTACTTGATTCTGTATGTTGACAATTATACAGTGAAAGTTCACATGAATTTGAAAATGATCGTGTTGTGGTTCCGTCAGTTGCACAGACTGGATCATAATACATTGGACATGCGTAATCGCATTGGTGATGTGGGCAAAGAGCCAATGTATTATTAAATAATATTACTTAAATAAATGAAAAAAAAAAAAAATAATAGGATTTAGTATGATAAAAATTTGGTTTTAGTAAAACTGTTTTTCAAAATCAAAATTTTACCAAAGATGAAGAAAAAAATTAAATTTTTTATTTTAAACTTGAACATATTCGGACGATTTGATCTTATTTTGTGTATTTTTAATTCAATACTAAATTATTTTATCTGAAAGGTGTCTAAATTTATAAAGAAATGAAAAATTGAAATTGATTCAGTAAATAGAGACAATAATGGCAATGTAAACAAAAATTTATAACAGTAATTAAATATTTGAATTGCTTTTAATATAATGTTCTAAAAATTTTAAGTTTCTGTTTTTGTTATACTTTGTGACAAAAATTTTAAAAGAAACATAAAAACAAAAAATGTTTTTTGTTTTTTTTTTTTTGTTCATCTTCCATATGTGTGTGGTAAGCGTCTGGCATTATAATTTCACACTATCAGATTTTTTTTTTTTTGATTAGAAGCACAGTACTTTCATAAAATTTTAATTGTACAAGCATTTGTATCAGCCCCCAACATTTTTTTAAAGTTTTTAATTAAATTTTTTATTCTTTCAGAAGCAAAAATTGGTTCTTTAGAATTTTGCAAAACATTCTTGTGCATTATAGCATTGATTTACTACTAAAATAAGAGGAGTGATTTTTAATATAATAGATGCAGGTATAGAACAAATTAGTTTGAATAAGACCTTTGATATTAAATTTATGTATAAATGTTTATAATAAATTTTTAAATAAGTAGGACTAATTAATTATAATTAATTTTTAGTTATAAAATTAATATAAAATAATTTCATCCTAAAATTATGCAATTAATTAATTCATATGATGCTATGTATAACATTGACTGATTAATCTTCACATATAATCATTCATAAGGGGACCCTTCTTTGCCTTGATACATAGGTGAGTTTATTACATTATAAACAAGCACCTTCCCCGCTAACACTCTTTAGGGAAAAAGTAAAATTCCATGATTAGTGTTCTTTAAATAATTTTTTTTTTTAATAATATTATTACAAATTTAAATAATTGTTGCAATATTGTAAAACCTTAATTTTTGGTTACCAGTTTTAGTAATTTTGTTAATTTTAGCGGCTACTAATTTAATTTGGACATGGTTCTCTTGAAATAACAATATAATCTAAAATTTAAATTTAAAAGATGATAACATTAAAATTTAAATTTATATACTTAAAAGTATATTCACTTACTTCTTTTCTCGTCACAATTTGCTTTTCCCATTAAGCATGGATTTGCAAAGGTAACATATTTTTTTCCATTAAATCCACATACGACACTCTTAAAATTTTCATCACATGTTTTCGGGCACATTGAATGTTTTCCGCATATTTTTCGAAATCCTTCAAATTTCTCACACTCTACATAACCACTCAAAGAAAACACTATAAAAATCAGTGAAACAAACACTATTATATTGGATTTTGTATAGAAAAAAATTTTATCTGTTACCATTTCCTTTATTTTTGCAATTTTCCTGATTTAAGTGACATATTCCAGGGAATGTTTGATAGCAATTTCCATTATAACCACAAACAGAAATATTTTCATCGGAACATATTAAATTATAATCATCATAACACAGTTTTTCATTAACACAAGCTCCACAATAAACTTTCTTAAAACCTGCAATACAATTTTTTTTTCATTACAATAGAAGAAGTAGAATTGAAAGTATCTGCACTTACGATCGCTTTGTTTTAATTCACAATTAAGTTGGTCTAATATACATTCATTTGGAAATGTTCTAAAACAATTTTTATTTCGGGCACAAATTGGATCATATACAGAAGAGCATTTAATCAGCATACAAGTTTCAATATCATTTTGTTCTTTGCTATTTTCTTTTGAAATTTCTTTACTTTTAGAATGATTTTCTTTAGAACTTGGATGATTAGAGTTTTCTTTGCTATTTGAATGGTTTTCGTCAGAGTGACTGTTAATAGAACCATTGTCGCTTTTCGAATTATTTTCGTTAGAATTATGCTTTTCGGTTTTTGAAGTGTTTTCCTTAGAATTAGACTGATGCAAAATTTCTTTGCTTTTGGAATGGTTTTCTTTAGATCCTGAATGATCGGAATTTTCTTTCCTTTTTGAATGGTTTTTGTCAGATGTATTAGCACTTTTCGAATTATTTTCATTTGAATTATGCTTTCCGGCCTTTGAGTCGTTTTCTTTAGAAGTGGACTCGTTCGAGGCATCTTTACTTTTGGGATTATTTTCCTTACTTTTGGAATTATTTTCCTTAGAGCTTATATAATGAGAACTTTCTTTGCTTTTTGAGTGGTTCTCCTTAGAAACGTTAGCACTAGGGACATTTTCATTTTTCAAAGGTTTTTTGGTTTTTGAATGATTTTCTTTGGAATTAGACTCGTGCGACTTTTCCTTACTCTCAGAATGATTAGAAAAATTTTCTTTGTTTTTTGAGCTGTTTTCTTCTGAATTGGGTTGAAGTGAATTTTCTTTACTTTTCGAATGGTTTTCCTTGGAGTTCGGAGGAATTTCTCCACTTTCTTCAATATTGGGTTGTGGTGAATATTCTTCACATTTTTGATCAGATATCGGATCAGGACCATGATTTTCGTTAGAATTTTCATTACGAAAACGCTCTTTGCTATTTGAATCGTTTTCCTCATAAATAGCAGGATTTTCTCTGATTTTCGAATGGTTTTCCTTTGAATTTGGATGAGATGAGCCTTCCTCGTTTTCTGCAAAATCGGGTTGATATGGATATTCTTCGCATTTTTGATCAGCAGTCGGATCAAAATTGTAAATCGGGAAGTTTTCTTTATCTTTTGAGTTAGTTTCTTCAAAACTGGGCTCAAGTACATTTTCTTTACTTCGCGAGTTTTCGCTTGTTTGATATAATTCTTCATTCTGCAAATTATTTTCACCAGAATTATGTTGATTCTGGTTTTCTTCGTTTTCTTTAGAGTTATATTGCTCTGAATTGTTGTCTGCTTGTTGTTGCGAGTTTTCTATGCTCTTTGGCTGGGGTTCCTGAAAGTTCACTTGGAAAAATGAAAAATTTTCATTATTTAAATGATTTACCACAAAGTTATCCATATTTTGTTCATCGTTTGAATGATTTTCTTTAGAATCAGGTTTTCCGGGCTCCTCACAATCTGATATAAAAGGTGTTGGTTCCTTATCTGTTGCTTCATTTGTTTTGACATTTTCATAGCTTTCTGGAACAGTAGATTGCTTTGCTGCATTTGTTAAGCATATCACTAAAAAAAATATATTGTTAATTGATTAAGTTTCGCCAAGCAGTACCTAGATTGTATTCTCACAGAATGCCAATAATTTAAAAGCTCTTTTCATGTTTTTTCATAAAATTTTATTCCGACAAATTTAATTGAATAATATTACGAGTATTAAAATTTCTAGAAAAATGATGTCAATAAGTGAAAATTTTGGGGACGCAATTGACCAGTACTATCTAAATAAAAAGTAAGGTAATATTTTTTCAGTTGAATCAATTTAGAAAAAAACATATTGTCGCCTTAATGCATGATGATCCAAGCGTTATTTAATATTTTTTGAGAAAATCGTACTTTTAGTTTAGATATTTACAATGGAATTCTCCGGCATTAAAATGCACATATGTTGCGTTAATGCTTACTTGTACTAAAACATTATGCAGTGTCAATAGCTCCTGATACGGTCAAAGCTTTATTCAACAAATAAGTCTAATTTTTTCCATATTGCAACACCAAATAATAAATTAAACTATTTGTGGCGAAAGTGGCGCATGAACGAAATAAATTTTAATGGAACGATATTTTGTTTGCGCAAGATTATTAGTATGATCTGAAACAATAATGACATTAAAATATAAACAATAAATATCAAATATAATGCGAATAAGAGACCAACATTATAGGGTCTCCCATTTATGCATTTTTCATTCTTTCAGTAAATAGCCATCAATATAATAACGAAACAATTTAGAATTGTTATTATATAGAAGTGGATGGAAAGAATTTATTTTCGTTTCTTGAATTTCGAAAATTCAGTAGAATTTTGATTTTATATCAGAAAATATTTTTAGATATTTTGTTTGTACAACTGCTTTTACAATATTGCTTTTATTGATAAAATAATAATATGAACAACATATTCTGTAGATCCAGAATCACATTTTGTCTAAAATCTTCGGCTACCTCAAATTTCTTAATTTCTTAACAATATTTCGGTTTTATAAATTCTACAATTTCGTAAAATGTTTAAGCAATATTTTAAGAATTGCGTAATTAAAATGCAGAATTGGTTTGAAAAAAACTTAAAAACGCGATATTTTTAGCTTATTTCTAGAGGTTGCGCACACTTTTCTACTCTCAGTTTCTATTGATATTTTTTTTGCATTTATTGTTTTTTTTTTCCCAATAAAACTTAAATATAAACAAATTCTATTATGAACTAGAGAAGCACTTGATTAAACGAAAAATATAAAAATAAATATTTTTTTGATAGAAAATAAAAAATTCCACTCCAACTGAAAAGAGACTGTTATAAAAATATTTTGCCTATGTGGGTAAAAAATTACTCAAATGAAGAATAAAATTTTACCCACACTCAAATGAAGAATATATTTTTACCCACATTGGCAGTAAAATCAATTTTGCAAAACATGTAATTGCACTTATAGAGTTCAACAAAATTTAGCTTAAAAAGTGTTATACTATTAAAAAATTTCAAGAAATCGACTAAAATTCAGAATATAACTAAAGTTTCCAGTGTATTCCACTTCACTCCTTAATCAGATTCAATGGCAATACAATATCAATTTATGTTCATAAATTCTTTACAATTTTTAATCATTTAAGATTAGTAAATTTTATATCTATTATACTGTGATGAAAGTTTGCGTTGTTTTATCTCGAGGAATAGGATATTTATGTGTATTATAAATAATCATTATTATTGTGTGAAAATTGTGCTTTTTTAAAAACAACAAAATCTCAGCTATACCTATACATTCTGGGCTAAAACACATTTTGTAGCTATTTAAATATAACAGTTTCAATACAAATATTGATTTTCTATGTATTTGCTTTTAATAAATTGTGCTGCCATGCAAAGTATTGTATATTTATGACTTGTTAATAAATACATAAGTATCCTTGTATGATAATACTGATTGTATATAATTATTATTGTATAATAATTTTCCAAATAATCCATTTTAATATATTATTTTCAACTTCAAATATATTAAAATTAAATTATTATACTAAAATGTAAAATGACTGTATAAAATATCGATTAAAATAGAATATACTTATAATAAAATTTATTTATTTTGTATATTATGCAAATTATATTATATATGATGTATGATATTGAACTAAAATATTCATATACAAAATTTTTTACAATAAATTACAATTATATTTTAAATATAATTTAAATCATAATATTTATTAAATTATTGAATTTAAATTATATTAAAGATTAAAAGAAATACGCATGCATACAATACATACGATGAATAATATTATTATACAAGGTTTTCCTCTGAAACATTTTTTTTAAATTTTATCCAATACTCGATGTGTTGATAAAGGAAAAATAAGTATAATGAAATTTAAAATTTATTACAATATTGTTTTAAATAATATTTATATATTTTCAAAATTATGGTTTGATTGTAAATTATAATTTAATTTTAAAGTTGAAATTTAATATTTGCATTAAATAATTTAAGTATTAAATTTGTTGTAGTATAGAATATATTTCATTATTATTTCAGAGATTCTGGATATTCTAAAGAGCTGCCACCGCATAAATAGTCAAAGCACACATCAATTAGTATACTGAATTTGTGGAACATATTTGTGGAACTTACTGTAAATTCTTTGTTGTTTAGGCTTGTTAAACCACGCATAATCCCGTCGTGAATCCAATTCGGGATTGCTTTGTATTAAATTCTAATTGGATTGAACCATTCGAATTCTTTACAAAATTTACCTTTTTTTTTAAATTCCCCTGCTTTGTACTGCTTCTAAATATTTTATTACTCTCAAGGATTTGTTCTCTAGTACTATTCTCACGGTTGCTCTATTCATTTTATCACTACCTATTGCTATAAATTTCAAGTTTGACAACAAATACCGCTGATCTTCTAACTTTTCTATCATATTATTGTATTGAGCGTTGCTTTCTTATTCATTTCTATTATTCTCGTTTTCGATGCCTCTGCATTTTTGCAGCCAATACTCAGATTTTTTCTTATATGTATATCATACAATTTCCTAATTCTGGCAAGTTAATAGGAATCACATGCGGATTACTAAGGCTGCATCGTATATACGGAATGTATTACCACATGATAAATTTAATGTAAAAATTTATAGCTTGATGCGTTATTAATTCGTTTAAAAAAGTCATTTTCGTGTACTTCTTGAAGTGATACTTTTGGCAGTTTGGCTGGGTGGCGATTATAATAATTTCTATTTTATTAGCCTACTATTTAAGTTGTTGATTTGACTTATATTCGATTCATATTGGAATATATTACCTAAAGAATAACTTCAAATTTTTGTATAACATAATTAATGGGGTATAAGTACTTCGCAGGTATTTATACTAACCTATTGATTGGGTAATAAATAATAGGTCATTACAAGTACTTCCTCAATACTGACCTATAATAATTATAGAAATTAACTGTTATAACAGCTGTTGTTTGATTTTGATTTTCCGTTTCTTATCAAAATTTAAAACTGTAATATTCACCGTAATATGCGTCAACTTCAAATACTACAGTTTTTTTCTAAGTAATTGATGGTTTCATTAAATTTTTTATATTAAAAGTAAAATAATCAATAAATGAGCTAAAATTTTAGGTCCTGAACATCTATAGTTTAATTGAATTTTCTTTGAAATCTGTTTCACATAATATTCTGTGTAATTGTCTTTCATATTGTCATTTTTACTCTTCCGAATTTGGTGGGGAAAAGAAAAATTTCAATAATTTCTCTTTTTCTTAGAAATTCAATTTTTAGCACTTTTCCAAAAATTTTTTGAAAAAAAGTGCTTATTAGTTTCACTCTGTCCGTCCGTCCGTCCGTCCGTCCGTCCGTCCGTCCGTCCGTCCGTCCGTCCGTCCGTCCGTCCGTCCGTCCGTCCGTCCGTCCGTCCGTCCGTCCGTCCGTCCGTCCGTCCGTCCGTCCGTCTGTCCGTGTGTCTGTTTACAAAACTTCTACACCCTTGAAGATAGAAAGCTGAAATTTTATATGTACATAGATCTTTACTAGAAACTTATTTCTGTAGAACAAAATTTTTACCTATCTCCTCCCCTCTAGAAGTTATACCCCCCCAAAACCCTAAAAATGGCCTTTTTTAACTATTTGTTGCAATGAAACCATAAGCATTTTTGAAATTTTGCAAACGCAGAAAAGCAGCGGCTTGCTTCCCCTAGCGCGGCATACTATATTTGAACTTTAGAAAAACAAAATGGCCGTTCAAATTTACCGTTATCTAAAGTCCTTTTTTTGCAAATTTTTGATGTCGTTTTTTTTCCAAACTACAGCCTGTAGAAGCTTGAAATTTTAGGAGCTTTTAGACATTATCAATAGTTCATTTCGCTAGAAAAAAATTTTTTTCCATCTCCACCCCCTCTCAAGTTATCGCCTCTTGAAATTTGTAAAATTTGAATTTTTGACACCTTATATTTCCGAAACCGCAAGCTTTTTCAAATTTCTATTAACGCAAAAAGTTAACGGTAAATTCCATGAAATTAAAAAATATAATTATTTTTCTTAACTCACAAAATTAAACCTTAAAATCGAGCATTATGTTAACCCCACTTTATATTAATTTTTGCTTTATTTCAAAGACTGCATAAATCATTCATCCTAAATATATGCAACCCTAGAAATAGTTTTGTATATGAATGAAAATAATTTTAATAGTGTGATAGGTACATAGACTACATAGACTGTATTTAAAAGCAAAATTTTCATTTGTTGAAGGGAAAAGTGCTACAATACAAACCATTGGTTTGACCCAACTTTATTATTTCTCCCTTTACCGGAAATGTCATAACTTTTATGTACATTGTAACTACCTATACAATATGTATATGTGTGTGTATATTTGAAAGATTTTTTCATTTTTATATTATTACTCTTATTTCATTTCTTTTTAGCATATTTTTTTTTATAAAATATAAAAAATCTATATTTAAACTTTAATATAAATAATTCTTAAGTTTATTGCGAATCTTTTTATTCTTCTCTTTTGTTAACATTATTTTTTACACGCTGCTGTCTTTAACTTTACTTTTTACATTCTATACACACATGCATACATATTATATAGAATATTATAGCTAGGATACGTGGTGTGATTTTATAAGGGATTTAAAGTGATTTTGTTAAGTTTTATTATTATTTTGTTTGTTTTTTTTTTTGTTGTGTATAAAATAAATAAACATAAAGTATTAAGATAAAACAATAAAATGAAAAGTAAGAATAAAAAAAAATTATTTAAGGTAAGAATAAATCTGAAAAACTAAATATAGCCATCTTACCTGTTTTCAAGCTCATTACTTTATGTACAAACATAAGTTATAGCTCACTTTTTAAAGAGAGAAGAACAACATTCAAAAAATATGATACAAATATTATGTTGTGTACACAAAATAAATAATTATGTACTGTGAATGTGTGTATAATAGAATTTATTCATATTTATATTTTATCTTATAATTTTTATTTATAAACAATTTCGAATAAACATGTTGCTGAACTAAAAAGTTCTCGCTCTTTCTCTTTTTGTTTTTCCTCTTTCGGCTCAATTTGACTTTAGTCTCCAAGAACGCTGTATAACAGAAAATATAATATACATAAATGTGGGTGTTTTGTTTATTTTTAAAATATTACTCTAATCGCAAATGAGAAAAATCTTATATTTTATTTAATTTTTGTGATAACATAATGAAATTGTTATACAAAATAGTATATGTAAATAATTAAATGCTGAATGAGAGTTTGAAAGTTTTACAGATTTCTCTTTTAAAATAACAGAATAACAGAATATTATTTTTACCATCAAATTTTATAACACAAAATATACATAAGCATTATTGTGACTTCATTTCCAAAGGGAAAATGTTATATATATATATATATATATATAAATTTGTGGTAATAAAAAGATAACAGCGTCTATTATGATTTTACTGTCATACTTGACTACTTATTATTCTAGTTATATGTATTATGTGCCAAATATGTATATTATAAAGTTCATACATAAATACTTAATTTTTACTAAATTTTTTCAATCATCTATTAATTCTGGTCACTGAAATTTAATTATATTTTGTATAGGTTGGTAACAATGCAATTTGAGACTATTATAACAAAAATTAAAATTTTAGTAGTAAAGTTTTAATTGTTTAAATTGACGAATTATTAAAAAAATCACAAAGCTTCTACTTGTATTTGATATTCATTTAAATTCTCCTATACTTAACAATTTGAAATTGGCAAAACACAAAGTAACAGTTTAATTAATAGTAACAGTTACACAAACTGTTATTATAATTTTATTTATAATGGTTTTTTTGGAATTTTAAACAGACAATATAACATTTTTATAAGATTTTAATAGTGAGAATAATATAATTTGCTTTTATAACAGATAAAATTTAAAGAGAAATAAAACTATTTGAGAATTCTATTTTTTCACTCGATGTATAAAAAAAACAACTATGGCACAAACACAGTAAAATTCATGTTTTAAAAGACCGTATAACAGTTACTTGTATTATGAAAGTTTTGATAATGGAAGAAAGATAAGGAAATAAACAATAAAAAAACATAAAAAATTTGAAAATTTTTTATTTTAATGTTTAAAAAGAGGAATAACTAAAAAATAATAACAGGTAATTAACAGTTAAAATTAACATTGAATTATAACAGTTTCAGATTTCAAAGAGAGATTTCAAAATGAATGTCCGATGTTCATTATTAATGTTATGTCATGATTTTATCTTTGGCATAGCCATAACATGTTCTCCTGTTAAATGTAATTTTAAATGTATAAAGTTGAATTTTGAGATACAGATAGTAAAATTTACTACAAAAAATTTTATTAGTAAAGTTTAATAACCTATAAATTTCTAAACTGATTTAAAGCCTTTTGAAAAATTTAAACAGCAAAATATCCTTTTGGGTTGTAAATTTGTTTTGCTTCTTTTACAGAAGTCAATGTTAAAATAGACTCTAGAATACGAAAATT